TCTGAATAGACATTTCACCTGAGATACACATTGTGCTAATAAGCACATGGAAAGATGCTCATTATCATTAGTTATTATGGAAATGTAAGTTAAATTCATTAGAATGCCTATAGCTAAAAACCTAACAATCCCAGGTATGAGAAAATATGTGGAAAAACTGGAACTCTCATGCACTGATGATACAATCACTTAGAAAATACTTTGCAAGTTTCTGAAAATATTAAAGACACTTTCATACCACCCACTTGTTCTCCCTTTAAGACATTTCCCAAAAGAAATAAAACATGTCCATGAAATACTTATATATAAATATCTATGGCAGCAGTATTTACAATAACTGAAAACTGCAATAATACAAATTCCCATCAATCTGTGAAAGGATAAACAAAGAGAGGTATATTCATTCAATGGAGTATTATTGGGCAATAAAAAAGAATGAAATACCAATACTTGCTATAATACACATGAAATTCGAAAACATTATGCTCAATCAAAGAAATCAGACACAAAAGAACTGCATATTGTTTGATTCCTTTTATATATAATTTCCAGAGAAGACAAAGCTATGTAGAGTGGTTGCCTGAGACCGGGGTGGGAATAGGGACTGGGTGTAAACACTGTAAGAGAGCTTTTTGGAGTGACGGAGATGGTTTAAAACTATATTATGGTAATGTTACACAACTCTATAATTTATCAAAAATCGTTGACTTGTGTACCCTGAACAGATAGCTGAACCTTATGGTAAGTAGATTACACCTCGACGAAGCTCTTCTTCTTTCTTCTTCCCCCTCCTCCTCCTTCTGTTCCTTCTCTTCCTCCTCTTCTTCTTTTCCTTCTTCTTAAGAAAATTATACTCCCAACCACACTGCTTGCAAGTTACTGGAGTGTCACTATCACTCAGCAATGGACAGCAGTACTTTCAATCATTTCTAACAACTCGGGCAGACTGGTTTTTAAAAATTACATCTCATTATTCTTAATATTACGCACTTCTTTGATTTTTGTAAAACTAAATGTTTTCATCTATTCGATTCTGTTATTTTCATATAAGGATATACATCTTTTCCATGAGGACATCTGAGATTTTATGTTTTAAAAATAGCAAACATTTTTCAGTACTATTTGGCACAAATATTTTTCCTGGTTTTCCATTAGTTTTTACATTTTAAGTTTCTTTTGCCATATTGAAATATTCATTTTCACATAGTTAGATGTATCTGTATTTTCATTTACAGAGTCTGTCTCTGATATTATAACTTGCGATGTCCTTATAAAAGATTAATCAGAAATCTTGAGTATTAATAGTTAAGCATCCCTTGTGCCAAGCCAAGCACTACTGAGCCTTTCCATTTTAAGAAAAAAGACCAAACCTAACTTCATATTTCAAATCAGAAGACAGACAGCCTTTTTTCCCCTTATACCTTCATTTTAAGTATAGAAACACTCACTAGTGTTTATATCCCAAGTTCATGGAAAATTGTCTCATGAGAGAATTTCTGATATGACACATCAGGTGCTTCTAAGAGTTCTGAATAAGAAACTAGAAAAATAAAAAGGATGTGAAAATGTGTGTGCTGTTGCTGATCATGCTAGGACTACGACTCTAGGCCTCACTGGCCAATGCCTCTTTTGTAGGACATCAGATCATCACCGAACAACGTGATCCCTGCAGGCATTCCTGGATGTTTGAGCAGAACAGTCTAGAGCTGAGTCACACACCGTCGCACCACCACCTCGGTCCATGCATATTATCATTTTCCCTCCTATTCCATTCACTATTAATGGGTAGTGACCCATCACCCCCCCACACCCATTAGGTAATGAATATATAGGAAAGTCAACTTTATTTATTTAAATCTCACAAACTCAGAAAGGGGTTTAATGGTAACTGAAGAACCCTTCACTGCTGAGTGATGTACTGCTTCAAAAAATACATCAGTAATAAAAAACCATCTAATTTAATGTAGCTGTCATATCCAAAGATACAGATAAAACAAAGATATGATTAAGAAATGTCATAAGAATATTTTACATTGATGTGGATATTATGAGCTTTGAGTTGTATAACTGAGGCCTGGTCATGTTAAAACACAATCAGAAGAGACATTCAAATGCTTAATAACAGAGAATGATTATTTTCTTTGTATACGAGTTCTACCCACATTTTCAAGACCAGTCCAAATTCAACCCTTTTTCCTTATCTATCCTACAGCTTTTAGAATCTGTACTATATATTCTGAAACATATATACAGGCTTAATATTATTCAACTGTTTTGTATCTACTACTCTTGTCACTTCATTGAATATAAGCTCCTTGAAAACAAATTGTGTATCCCTAGGGCATTAAAAGCAGTGCTAGGATTCTAGATGTTTTTAGTATTATAATTTTATTCATTATATTTTTATTCCAGATGTTTTATTATTAATGCCCTTTCTTACTCTGCAGAAGCTTAAGCATATGCTCATTAAGTAATTTTTACTGATTTCTGGGAAAAGGTAAAAAAAGAAGCCAAAAAATACAAGAAATATTGTGGGGTACTTTTAAAACTTATTATAATGTTGAACAGGCCAACCTTTAGTCAAAAACATTGAGTAACAGTACTATGTAAATGTTTTTGACAATTATTCTGCTTTTTCAGATCTCCAAGAGTTACGCATAGATTTTGTTCAGTTTTTGTCTTTGCATCTAGGCAGATTTTATTTTACCTAATGACAATGGCTTCCAATATAAGTTCCAGTGAACTCAAAGATTCCATGATTTTGTCCAGTTCTTGTCTTTGCATCTAGGCAGCTCTAAGTTTTAACTGATGGATGGGATGGTCAAGGTAGCTGCTCCTGTCCAGGCTTTTTAGTTCTAAGTATAAACAAAAAGCCTTCCTATTACTCAAGGAGAGGTTTGTCATCTCTGAAGAACACTCTCATGTCCTGAGGGATGACACTTAGGTGCCTATACACAGACATCTCTAGTCCCAGAATGCCTGACTTCATGCGGGTTCTCTGCCTTTCAGAGAAATAAAACAATAATCAAAGCCAGTTCTTCTACTGCTCTTCTTTTCTTCCCTTCTATTTCCTTAAAAAGAAGGTGTCCCTGAATAGAAGGTGGACAATGAGGGAATGGAATAGTTAATGGTTTCACCAACTCTGGCTCTTGAACAACAAGGATTCTACCATATCAGAGTCCATTACACATAAAGGGTTTGTGCATATCTAACCTCCTATTCATCTGAATTTGTTAATTCCCAGGAAAGAAGATGATAACCAACTAACCCTGTAAACCATTTCTTGATATTAGTTCCCTTGAATCTACTAAAATTCCAAACCTTGTCATTAATGATTGGATAAAATGCTGAAAGTGGTGACATCATATTACTATCCTCATTTAGTACGACAGGGTTGCAAAAACAATACTTTCATGAAAATCAAGTTTAAAGAATGAATCTCAAGTATTAGCACTCTCAATAAGTCATCCATCTTTTTAGACTCGGGTGTATCTTTAGATTTCCTAAATTTCTCTTGACCCACCCAGCACTAAATAGAATGAGTGTATGTTTGAACTTAAGAACTTTGGACCTACAGCATCTAATTAAATCTTTGGTACTAGCTATTGGTTGGTGAGACATTGAGTAATTTATGTCTCTAAGTCCAGTTCAATGGTGATAACAGTTCTCAAGGTGTTTGAGGATTAAATGAGATACTGTAAGTCAAACTATTCTTACAAGAAGAGACACAAAGTATGTGCAAAATAAACTCTAAGATTAAAAACAAACTGGTGTAATTAATTAATATGTTTTTTAAAGAGACAAGTTTCCATCAAACTTTCAATAACAGATAAGGTAAAAGCTTCTGTACCTTTAAACTTCAATATTTTTAAGTTATGCATTCACTTAAACACACAAATCAGTCCACAGCCTTCAACCCATAAAGCAAGATATTATTTGCCATTCTGCCTCAAATGTAATACTCTCACTGGTTGACACCATTGTAAATGTTGGGACAGGAAGTGGGAGGGTGCAAAGCATTATCTTAGGAACAGCCGCCACACACCTGTTTTCTCCGGGTGGAGGGAAACCTTCCCTTTCCGCCCTGAGACTCTGAGAGAAATAAACTCCCCTGTGCAAGATACTTGATGTCCGAGGCCTGCGCGGAAGGGGACATAATAGTCCTCAAAGAAAAGATGAGACTAATGTGACCCCAGTTTCCTCTACGCACCGTGGGGTGCTGGAGAGGGTGTGCCGCGCCTTCCCCGACTGAGTGTGAGTTTGGGTCGCCAAGGCGGACTTGGTAGCCCCTGACCTTGGCAATCACAGGGGATGACCCAGGCGCTAGGCGCCACCCGCTTTGCACGTTGCCAACTGCGCGGATCTCGAGAACTGCGGGGCAAATCCAGCCGCCCCGAGCCCCGCCTGCGCTGTCCCCAACCTTGATTGACAGTAGAGTTGGTACATACGGGTCTGTAGCGGAGACGAGCAGGGGGGTGAGCGCTATTTTAAACATGGCTTTCCCTCTTTCTTAGACTCAAGAGCCACCGCAGGCGCGCCAAGACGTGGGCACCGTCCACGTGGTAATAACCCCAACATCGGTCCCACTTACTTATCTTTTTCGATCTCCTTATGCATATACTCGCTTTGCCCCTCCTCGCTGCTTTCCTTCTGCACTAATGACAACAACTAGGCAGTTTGCAGAGAAAACTCCCCTCCTGGATGGGGGGATGTAAATCGCCTCTGCTCCTTACTGAAGATGGAAATCATTCCACATAGAATGAGTTCAAAAAGAGGGGAAGCCGCGTTGTTTGACAGAAAGTAACATTGAGAGACCAATGGGGACGGTGAGAGAAAAAGAAGAAAGGAGAAATGTATACAACAAGCATCTGAAAATAAGCGTGGAGAGCAAAAAGATTCGCAATCTCCCACTAATTACTGAGCGCATTCCGCGCAAGCCATTGCAATGACAAGGTTTGCTGCAAGCGCAATTTGAAGGCCTTTGAAATCTTAAGACTTACCTTTCTCTTCGGCATAATGATTATATTCGTGCAGCAAAAAAGTAAAGCAACGAGTTGGAACTGCTGGTATCGCCGCTGGGTGTTGCCGCCCTTGCTGCAGCCGTGCACGGGGTACGGCCTCTCCGACCTGCACCTCGGCTGCTCCCTCCGGGGGCCCTCTACTCTCTTGCCTTCCCGCTCGTCCAATGAAAAGCTCCGGCAGACGGCCGCGAGGCCCCACTGGCTGAGGCAATGTTCTAAATTCCATGAGGGCACGCCCACCTGTGCGCGCTCTGTACCCGTTGTTGTAGTTTCCACTTCACGGAAAAAAATCTGCCTGGCGACTGAGCATGCCCAGTTGAACTAGTAATCCTAAAGTCACACGATCCTGGAATTTCATTGTTTTGCTGCGCCCTCTGGATTGTGTCAGTGTAGATGGGCCATAATAGGGAGGACAACATGTTAACTTTTAAGTATATACACAGACCAGACGTTCTAAGTTTGCTCCTCCTAGAGGCTTGAAATGAATGGTGTATGATGGACACTTCTTAGAGTGGGAAGGTGCTGTATTCTGGAAGTCTAGCAACCTCTAAGTGTCTCGGTTTTTCCCTCTAGATATCTTGTGACAATAATCCCTAAAATTGCTTAGCTCTTAGTTCTTAAAATCTGTGATTACAAATCACTCACTAATCCAGACTGTTTTAAGATAGGCTTGAAGATGAATAGGATATATTTGTTATGGAAATTAGAAAAAGAATGAACAAGATTAGAACATATTATTTTATATTCGAAGCATATATTTTAATATACATAATCTAAAAATGTATAATTTAATGCATTTTTAACGTTAGGCATTAGACAGACATTACAAAAGCACTTTCAAATGTATTTAATGAGATCAGTTTTCCCTTGATACCAAAAGCCACTGCATGGCTTTTTCTTTCTCAAAAGAAAAGAGTTAACTAGAATATAATCAACAAGAGAAAAAAGCAAGCAAAATATAACCAGAGACATTGAAATTAAGAACAATCTGACAGTAACCAGAGGGGAGATGGGAGGGATTAATGGGAGGAAGGGTTTTTACTATAAAGGACAGGTGGACAAAACCAAGGGGGAGGGTGGAAGTAAGGGAGGGAGGTGAGGATGGCAGGGGTGGAGGGGAAATGCAGACAACTGTAATTGAACAACAATAAAACAATAAAAAAAGAAAAGAGTTAAGACCAATATCCTTCATAAACATAGACATAAAAATCTTGAACAAAATTTTAGTAAATCAAATACAACATCATTTAAAAGGTTACTACATCATGAGCAGTGAAGCTTGTCCTGAGAATGCAAAGTTGGTTTAACATCTGAAAATCACCCATGTAATTCACCATATTAATAGAATAATGGGAGAAAAAAACAATATTATCATTTCAACAGCTACAGAAAAAGCACTACTGAATGGGTAAACAAACTGTGATAAACACATCCAATGAAATACTCAGCAATAAAGAGGAACAAAATATTCCTACATGGATAAATGTCAAAGACAAAATGTCGCCTGAAAGAAGTCAAATACAAAAGACAATGCTAAATAATTTTATTCATGTGAAATTATAGAAAGGTCAAAATTAGGCAAGGTTAGTTTCATAATCATATTAGCAGGCAAAAGTTTACATCCCAGGAAAGTATATTGAAGCCATATGCTACAAATATTGCCAAATCCACTTTGGTCACACAGAGGCTGAAAATATGTATAAAATAATTTCATAAAGTAATTAATTTTAATGCTTTTTTTCTTTGTTAATTTCAGAATAATCGATTAGTATCCTAGCAAACTCCAGAAGTGGTCAATGACTTTCTTTTTTATAATCTCTTAAGAAAGTCATGAATTTTATATATTTAGTGTGCGTCAATCTATTGCCATTATTGGTATTTTTTTAATGCTCATGTTGGCCAATATGAGAACCTTTTCAAATTAGTGCCTATAGATTCTTTGCTTTCAGTGGATCACAATTCACTCAAAAGAACTGGCATAAAAACAGTTATTTGTTTTAGAACCGGATAGAAACATCAAGGTTAATAATTTTTCATAAAAATAATGTTTATAATGAACTTGTCTTAGAAAAGAATTAATTTGCAAACTGCTTAATGGTTTCAAAAAAGCTAGTGAGGACATTTTTTTGATACTATGTGTGTGGGAAGGAAACTGTGTAGCGAGTGAAATCTGGGTTGAATTCTTGTTTTTCTTTATGGAGATGAAAAGGTGTCACAACAAAAGTGGGGCTAGGATGAGTTTTTTCCTTCTGGGATGAAAAGTGAGTGACTCATGAAATATTTTTCGAGAGTAAACACTCAATCAATAACAGCAAACAAAATTGTGAATGTTTTTACTGCACAAAGTAAACTGGCTGCAGTGAAAATGAAGCCTGCTAGTTAGATAAAGAAAGTGGATTGTGAGGATCTTTGATCCTTTGAATCTGTTAATTTATGAGTGATGAAAATAACATCTTCAGTTGTAAAATAAGTAACAGCACTGGTTCTCTTTCCTTTGAAATGGATTGCACCTGCCTCAGGAGGACACTAGGGCATGGAGGGTTCTCTCTGTACCTTCAGGAGCCTTCAAGGTGTGGGAAAAGAAGAGCAGACCTCTTCTGGCAGCTCTAAAGATAAGAGGAGGAGGCAAAGAGGATGATTTGGTGGTTAGCTAGCATTCCAGGTTAGAAGATAAAGAGACCTGAGGAAAAATGAACATGCCACATGCAAGACAGTGAGGGGGGCAACCTGGTAAGAAGTAAAGACTCATTTTTTTAAAGCAATATATTCCCCTGAGCATTTTTCCTGCTTGGACATATCAACCTCTGAGACAGTGAATTCTTCTCTGCAGGATGTGGATACTATCTCAGCCAAGATAGGCAGTGGAAGAATGAATGGAATTACTGCCTGAGGAAGAAAGAAGGACAAATTCATGAACAAGCTTTTTTTCAATCCCAACTCCTCTCCCATTCTTTCCTCCTTAAAGAGATTAGATTCCTACACTACCTCAGAATTTTTCAAAAAGCATGGCAGAACCATTTATGCTATCCTATCATTAAGGAAGAGAGAGAGAAGGAAAGGCAGGACAGAGAAACTATCAGAGTGCATTTCACATAGTGTCTTATAAAGTGTTTCCATTTTTCTGTACATTCCCAGACAAACACCAGACACACGTACATATAGGTGGTGTGCTTATGTGTGTGTTTTCTAGGTTGTGACTTGAAATGTATTTCTAGGATGGGTCTTGGTGAAAAAAACTTTAAAGCTGCTCCATTGCTCTATTGAATCTTTTGAATCTTTGGGATTCCAGGAATTTTTTTCCCTTGGAAGAAAGTTCCTTAATCTTCAAATCTTGAAAGAAAATCTTGAGATGAAATGATTACTGGCAAATCACCTCATTCTTGATTTGTCCCTTCTTCCCTCTTTTAAGGAGTCTCACTTAGGATTTTGCTCTAAGTAATGGCAAATTACTGGAGAAGTCAGGTTTAAAATGTATCTATTGTTTCTGATAGTTCTGTGATTCCAAGTTATGTTACTGTTTAGTAAATAAGCCAAAGAATTTGAGAAGTGGATAAATTTAAGGGTGTAACAAAACAATATCAAAAACAACAAACAAAAGGTGACAAAAGAATATTCTGTTTGATCAATCAAATCTCTAATTTGATTGGATGCTGACTTTTGAAGATTCCACATTCCTTTTTTACAAACTCACTAGGATAGGCTAAGAACTATCCCAAACTACATAATAATGCAGATTCCTATGCTCCAACCCAGGGAATTTGAATCTGTATGGCTGAACCTGGGAGTCTGCATTTCAGATAAGCGTTTCATGTGATTTTTTTTGTACTAGAATTTGAGAATTCTGGACCAGTCATGAGCTCTCAACAAATATTTACTGACTATTGGTACTTCAATTCTAATGTATATCTGTGAAAGCTTGTTGATTAATTAACACACTTTCAAAGCAGGAGCATAGTTCTGTGGGTGAACCTCTACCCAGTTCCCCAGTCCTAACCTTGTGTTTGTGCTTCATCTCTCCTCAATTCCAGGTTTGCTTGGCACTACTTGCTTATTTCACATACTTCTTCCTCTTCTCAACTTGCAAGGATCCTGGAGGGTGATTAAAAACTATACGCCTCCAGATCCTTAGGAAAGCACCTCCTCCCATCTTCCTAGGCAGCATGTGGCCCCTGGAGCCCCTGACAAGATCAAATTCTCTTACCCTGGCTGGTGTGGCTCAGTGGTGTGCGTGCTGGCCTGCAAATCAAAAGGTCACTAGTTCCATTCCCAGTCAGGGCACATGCCTGGGTTGAATGCCATGCCCAGGTGAGGGTGTGTGAGGGGCAGATCGATGTATCTCTCACATATCGATCTCTCATTCTCTTTCTTCCTTCCTTTTCCTCTCTTAATAAATAAATAAAAACTTTATAAATAAATAAATTCCCTGGTCCCACATCCTCAACAGGCACCTAACCTGTCCAAAGCCCCACAAGCCAAAACATTGCAAGGCTGTGTCATTTCCCTGCGTTAGCAATGCAATGACAAGGGGGCCAGGGTGTTCTCCGATCTTCCAACAGGAACCCAGTTTTCGTTTTTCCCAGCTTTCAATCAAATTTAATATGTGCAGGTTCTTTTTTCAAGAATGTTTTACACATACGTTTTCCCACCCCCAGTCCTTTTCAGGTTCAATCTCTGTGTTATTTACATCTCCTTGTGAGTTCTGATGTTTAAACTCACAGGAGTATAATTAATTTGCTCTTTGTAGCTCCCAAATAACTATTTGGGGGAGAATTAGCCATGCTCAGTAGCTAGAATCAGGAACTGGGCTACATTTGGTTGCCCATCCCTGTCTGCCAGGGCGTTAGCATGTCCAGTGCCAAAAGCCAGCCATGTTTAAGGAGGCAGAAGTGAAGGCAGGGACTCCCCCTAGGTCCAAGGCAAGGACACAGCAAGGTAGGAATACATCCCCCTCTCTTAGGGGAAAAGCCACAAGCTGCAAGGTGCCAAACACTAGTTAGGTGTTGTCGCAGAGTTTTCAGACTGAACAATACAGTCTTGGGGACAACTGCCATTCCAGCACACTCTCACAGAGCACACATCCTGCTTTAGAAGCTGGGGATCCTGGCCTCCCATTTCTGATGTCTTCTGTATTCATGGGAATTTGTAAGAAATATCCAGCCTCCTTGTCCTGCCATTATTCACAATGGCCCTGCCTTTTAGGCCAGATAGGAATATTCCCTTTTCTCAGTGAAAGCAAAAAGAAAAAAAAGTCCAAGTTTGAGGAAATGAAAATCAAATGAATCATTCTGGAAAATACCATATAACAATTAGAGATGATTTTTAGGTTAACTTGGTTAATAACTATTATAATTCTCAAGCACGAAGTAAGAATAAATATAGGCAATAAAGTGAGTTTTGCCAGGTCATAAAGAATTCTAGCCACAAGGCAATAAATATTTACCCAGTAGTGGAAAAGGCCTGAAAATGTGTTACAATCTTTCAGTCTACTTTGAAGCACAGAAGGTTTTTTTGTTATTGTTGTGGGTTTTTAAGCCTGGGATTGTGCTATTCCCATAGAATATCTTATCTATTTCCCCTTTCTTGTTCCTATTCCCACTTCTCCTGTTTAGAATCTTTAGCAAATGGATTTTTGTTTGTGTTCTGAAGAATCTGATTTATCTCTTTATGTCAAAAAATTTGTAAAGTTTTAACTATTTTTTAAAATAAATACTTCCTCCAAGATGGAAGCATAGGTAGAAGCACTGCGCCTTCTCGCACAACCAAGTTTAAAAACAACAAAGTTTTAGCAACAAAAATGCAGCCAAACCACAGAAAATTGAACTATACGGAAGTCTGACAACAATGAACCCTTCAGCCAGGCGGGTGAGAGGGGCAGAGCCAGTGGCAGAGCCAGCAGCAGAGCGGGGTCGGGCAGGAAAGATCCACTGGACCGACCTGGGTGCACGACCCAGGTGTGCCAGCAGCTGTGGGTGGATCCCAGGTGTGGAGTAGCAGGCGGACCCACTGAGGACTGACCACGGTCACACATTCGAGGGCAGATAAACCAACGAAGGAACGAGCAGTGAGACAGACCATGCAGGCCCCAGTGGTGGTAAGCAGCAGAGGGGACTGCTATTGTCCCTCTCTGACCCCGCCCCCACATGCAGCATCACAAACCAGAGACCTGGGTGGCCCCGCCCTGATGAACATCTAAGGCTCCGCTCCTCATACATAACAAGCACGAACAGATCAAAACATGGCTCAAGAACAACTCAGAGCCCCAGAGCTGATAAATCTAAGTGATGAAATAGCCAAACTTTCAGATGCACAGTTCAAAACACTGGTGATCAGGATGCTCACAGAACTGGTTGATTCTAGTCACAAATTAGAGGAACATATGAAGGCTAAATTAATTGAAATGAAAGGAAATGCACAGGAAACCAATAGTGATGGAAAGGAAACTGGGACTCAAATCAAAGGAGTGGACCAGAATGAAGAAAAAAACTACCAAACAGAAAAGAATGAAGAAACAAGAATTCAAAAAAAATGAGGAGAGGCTTAGGAACCTCCAGGACATCTTTAAATGTTCCAACATCTGAATTATAGGGGTACCAGAAGGGGAAGAAGAACAGCCACCAGTGGAATACTTATTTGAACAAATAATAAAGGAGAATTTCCCCAGTCTGGCAAAGGAAATAGGCTTCCAGGAAGTCCAGGAAGCTCAGAGAGTCCCAAAGAAGTTGGACCCAAGAAGAAACATACCAAGGCACATTATAATTACATTAGCCAAGATTAAAATGAAGGAGAGAATCCTAGAAGCAGCAAGGGATAAGGGGACAGTCACCTACAAAGGAGTTCCCATCAGATTGTCAGCTGATTTCTCAAAAGAGACCTTACAGGCAAGAAGAAGCTGGAAAGAAGTATTTCAAGTCATGAAAACCAAAGACCTACAACCAAGATTGCTCTATCCAGCAAAGCTTTCATTCAGAATGGAAGGGCAGATAAAGTGCTTCTCAGATAAGATCAAATTCAAGGAGCTCATCATCACCAAGCCCTTATTATATGAAATGTTAAAGGGACTCATCTAAGAAAAAGAAGATAAAAAAGATGAACAGTGAAAGGACAGCAAACGCACAGTTATTAACAACCACACCTAAAATAAAAACAAACTAAGAGGACAGCTAGATCAGGAGCAGAACCATAGAAATGAAGACCACATGGAGGGTTAGCAACAGGGGAGTGGGAGGAGGAGAAGGTGGGAGAAGGTACAGAAAATAAGTAGCATACATGGTAGGCAGAAAATAGATGGGGGGAGGGCAAGAATAGTATGGGAAATATAGAATCTAAAGAACTTGAGACACGTGGTCATAAACTAAAGGGGAGAATGGTGGGGGAGGGGGTATGCAGGGTGGAGGGGAATGAAGGGGGGAATAGAACAACTGTAATGGCATAATCAATGAAATATATTAAAAAAATAAATAAAGTAAAATAAAATAAATGCTTCTCGAAAAGCCCTGAATTTCCAGTTATAAGGCTTGAATTCAAATCCCAATGATTGAGATATGGTCAAATTACCTAACTTTTTTGAACCCTGTTTTTCTTGTTGTAAAATGAAAATAACAGGGTTTATCTGAGGCAAACACTGTTAGTTACCTGCCAAATATTCACACTGGCTTTCTTCCTTACTAACAGAATTCTGATTTGGGGCAATAGGCCCAGCCAAAGCAAAAAAAACATTAAGTTCTCCATTCCCCAGCAGACAGAGGTTGCTATGTGACACTGTTTTGATGGATGAATGTACACCGACGTCACAAGGGAGTAAACGCCACCTACAGAGGGGCAGCCGTAGCCCCACAACTGCTTTTTGCCCTTGTTCTTCTGTTTCCTCCACCCTGAAAGTTAGTAATAATGTCTGGCAGTAGACAGCTGTCTCATGTGCATGAGGATGAAGGCTACAAGTTTAGGGGAAAGAGCGAGAAAGACGAAAGACAGGCGCCTTGGTCCCTGTACTGGCTCTGGTTTGCCCAGCTCCAGACAACTTATTACATACAGAACATGAACACCATGCTTGATCAACCATTGTAGTTGGGTGTCTGGGACAGGCAGCTGAATGCAGTCCTTAACTGACCCACTACCACACAGAATTGGTGTGAAAATTGAAGATGACAAACTATGGCAGTACCCATATTCTATTCCTCCATGGATTACAAAAGAAAACTTTAACTGTTTCTGCACCCTAATGGCCTGATTAGGAAGATAAAAAATTTTATCCAAGTACTATGGTTGCCATAGATTGTGCTGCCCTAGCTGTGGCCTACTACCACATGGAAAGGATGGTCCATCTTTGCTGTCGTGTGCCTTCCTGTACTGTAGATACTGGCGTCTAAACCCCATATCCCACTATATCTTGGGTTCTGGGCACAATTTGGATTTGACCACTTGAATGCACTAGCATCAGATTTAGAAAGTAAAGATTAGGAAAAGGCCATAGTTAGCTACATCGGCTTTGTCTCGTGCTTTCCATTTCCCTGTGACAATATCAGCAGAGATCCGAGGCACCAGCTTTGCGGGTGTTGAGAGACAGGAACCCACATTCACTCTGTCCACATAAACTATAGCAGGTGTGGTGTGGTCTAGAACGGGCAGCAGTAGTGACTTCCTGATTGAGAGAGTGTTTTTATTCTCATGGAGTCCTGACGCTTGCGGATTCCTGACTGCAGAAGAGGTGCAGGTCCTTTGCTACCTGGTTCTGGGATGTGACTATGGGAGAGTTTATTGAAAGTATGACCTAGAGTCTATTTATTTAGCCCTCTAAGCTCTCCATAAGCCATTGAATCCTTGAATCTATCTCTTCCTCTTCAAATTAGATACAGTGAGTTCTGTTTCCTGCATCTCAACTCAGAACTATAGAAGTTCTATTAGTGTTGCTTACCAAATAGTTTCAGCATTAAGAGGGACCCTCTTTTTCCGCTGAAACTGTGATTGTGGAGAGGGATACTGTGGTGGGGACTGTCTGTGTGCATCCCTGAGTGGCCATGGTGAACAGAGCCTTAGAAGACTCAATGGGCAGAGGGCACGAGTGGAAATAGACCTTTTTTAAGAACCTGATGGTTGGGGAAATTTTGTTACTACAAGATTACCTTATTCTGATGTGGTACAAAACTTAGAAGTTAAGAGCAGAGTGCTGCTTTAACGATCAAATACACCCCAAAATCTTTGGCATTGGCATAACAGCTGGTCAGAGGGAATGAAGGAAACTATTATTAAAGACCAGAAAAATGGAAATCCTGGTTTTCTAAGGGTGAAACGCCTGGTAAAAGTGTTACCTGTCGTGGGGAAAGGCAACAAATTGATGTTTCTCTCCCTCTCCTTTCTTCTGTTTTAGTTTACTGTACAAATTGGAAGGCAAAAGGCATACCTAACTTTAGGGAAGAGATTGAAAACAAATTATGATTACTGTTTAATTGGTTGCTATTAGCTGCATTTGGCAAGATATTACAATAAAGAATTGTGTTTGGAGAAAAACTGGTCAGTTTGTAAGGAAAAAAAGACAAGGGAAATCTACAAATTTAAGGACCTATCAGGTCGGAAAGGACAACTACTTCTCAACACAAATAGTAAAAGATAAAATTGATACTTTGAATAATACAGGCCTGTTAAAACTCAGCTTTGCAGCTAGGATCAGATCACTAAACAAGGATTAGGGTGTGGTGACCTGAAATTCCTTTCAATTGGACCAAAGGGCTCAAAACAACTTAAAGTGGTTCAGGGTTTGAAAAGGTGTTACTCTCCCTGCCAGGCTCACGGAAGCTACAATTAGGGAGGGAGGTTGGGAAGGACAGAGAGGGGCAGCGGGGCAAGAGAGCACAGTACACTGAAGAAATATGCCTAGAAAGAAAATGTGGGCATAGGTATGAAGTAAAGCAAGTTTAAGATTCGAAGACAGTTTTACTGCTAAAAGGGGCACCAACCTGGATTAAATGCAACTGTGGCTATTTGGGACTTAAAATGACCCTTGGATTCCCTACCATCAGTGACAAGAATTACGCCGAGAAAACTGCTCGACCTATGAGGCAGGCAGAGTCTCTAATTCCTACTTCAGACAAGGTCCAAAAGGATATTGGAAAGAAGAAGTCTCCCAAAGGGAAAACCCAGGGACCATGGAGATCAACAGGCAGGGAAGCCCCTCTTAGGAAATCCCCATGGAGCTGTTCAGGGAATAGAACATTCTTCATCTTTTAGCTGAGGGGGGCCTAGAACTTCTGCCCAGTTTAATATTAGAATTGCAAAAGGCCATGTGTTCCCCATTCTTCTGTTATTAATGTGGACATTTATCAAAAGTATCTTGACCCTGCTCCACCACTGGATTGTGTGTGTGTGTGTATGTGTGGGTGTGTGTGTATGTGTATGTTTGGAAAGGTGAGGGAAGGGTTTATGAATCAAGAGGAATTGCACATGGCTCTACTGCAGAGGCTTCCTGCACATTATTCTCTGATGTACAGACACTGTGCTTCACCCAGAGATCCTGGGTTTGAACTTGCCATCATCACTGAGACTTTTTAATTATCTTTCCTGGAAAGGGAGTAAGTAATACCTTTTTTATGCAGTAAGAAATATTTCATTCCTATTGCCAAATATATGTACTTTACTTCTTATGAACTTCCCCTCCCTCCCTACATAACTTTTAAAGTTAGGCATAGCTATATAACCTACATAGCTATGTAATTAATTAATAGTTAATTAAATGTGAGCAAAAGTGGAATCATACAGTACTCGTGTTTTATGACTGCTGTTTTACTTAGCATAATGCCCTCAAGGTTCATCCACCTCATAACATGGGATAGGATTTCCTTCCTTTTCTGAGGCTGAATAATATTTTATTGTATGAATATCCTACATTTTGTTTATTCATTCATCCATCAATGGACATTTGGGTTGTACCCAACTCTTGGCCATAGTAAATAGTGCTGCTATACTAAGCACCATTTTTAAGAGCCATGTACGATTCACCAGATTCCCTTTTTCTTGCTGCCATGAGAAAGATGAGCCTCTCTCAGCCTGGGTCTTTGAATTATTAAAATGAGCAATGTTCCCTACTGACCCATATTGAATATGTGCAGTAAGTGAGAAGTCTTTGTTATTTTAAGACACTGAGATTTGGGGGTCCTTTTATCTTCTTTATGAAAACCTATAGGTTTTAACTTTTATAATTAACATTTGACTTTTCAAAGTTTGCAGAATAAAACACTGATCAGAGGTTGCCATAGTGGACAAGACTGCTCTATTTGAACCCTATACTTTTGTTGTGTCCCTCTGGCTACACAGTCTTGAAATCTCCACCCTCGTGGCCATACCCATGACTTCTCTTTCTCTAGTTGGCCAAAGCTTGGAAAAATCCCAAATCCCATTTTCTCATTTCCTACCCATTTATCTTGTTTTCTATACTTTGAATTGACAATGTGATTGCATCCTCTATATTTGATAGGAGTAGGTTTGACTGATCATCAAGCCCTCCAAATAACAGACGCTAAGAAAATAGAAATAAATTTTCTCCATCACATTAAAAACACAGGGTTGATATAGTACTTCTACGACCAACTGGGACATAGTCTCCTATCATGTTGCCCTGTCACCCTCATTATGCAGCTGCTATGCCTTGGTCCAAGATGCCCGATCCAGGTTTATTCCTTGTGTGTGCATTCTGGCCAACAAGAAAGATGAAAGAGAAAGAAATGTCATCTCTTTAAAGCAACTTCCAGAAACTGCATATACCACTTCCACTTACATCCCCTGGTAGAATTTAGTCACATCAAACATATCATAGAGAGCTGGGAAACATGACCTTCATTCTGGTCAGTGATGCTTTCTGCTTTCAGTAAATATCATGGAGGCTCTACTTTTGAAGAAGGGAAAACAGATATGAAAGTATAACTAGTTGTGGTAGGCAGTGTAATTGCCTCCTTCAAAATCTCCACATCCCAATTCCCAGAATATGCCTGTGAATATATTACTTTTTATGGAAGGGGGACTGCAATAAGGCCCTTAAGATGGGAAGATTATCCTGGATTATCCAGGTACACCCAACCTAATAACATGGATTCTTAAAAGCAGAGAACTTTTCCCCAAAGGCTGATGTGACTACCAAAAGGGGGTCAGAGAAATGTCATGTTAAAAAACAAAAACAAAAACAAAAACAAAGCAAAACACTCAACCCCATTTCTGTCTTTGAAGAAGAAGAAAGGGATCATTAGCCAAAAAAATGCAAGTGGCCCCTTGAAACTGGAATGGAAAAGGGAACAAATTCTTCCCTAGACCCTCAAGAAAGGAACACAGCCCAGCCAATACCTTAATCTTATCCCAGTGAGAACCATGTTGGACTTCTGACCTATAGAAATGTAAAGTTATAAAATTTTGTTGCCAAATAAGCCATAATTTGATGGCAAGTTGTTAAAGCAGCAATAGAAAACTAATACACTGCATTTCAGCCACAGTGCTTCTCTTTGGCCACCCAAATGTCTGTGCACACTCCTGTCTTTACACAGAACAGACTCCCCCCCTGTCTAAGGGAGAAACCCTTCAAGTCCTATACTTCTCTTCCATTTAGAGTATCCAGTTCAAAGTCCAGGATCGCCAGGAGAAATTCAGTCCTCTCCATTGGGTCTGGATGTAACCAAGTTATCTGCTCCCCCAAACACCCAATATAGTGTATTGGGGTAGAAAAGACTCATTCCTTCACACTAAATTCCTTGACTGGCTCATCTTGCAGCCTCGATGGGAGGGTCTCTTCTTCAGGAGGATCTCCCTTGCCCACTGTCCTGTGTACCCTCTGATTTTGCCCTCTAGAAAGGGCTTCTTTCTGCTGCATCCTCCAGGGCCAAGATGAAGTGGACATTGAAGAGTTCATCCCATTTGGAAGCTGCTAAATGTACCCAACCTCTTCCTGGCATGGGTTTGAGTGCTCAAGGATTGCTTTGAAGGTTAAACAGTTTTGGATTCTCTAAGTTTGTATTTTCTTTGGCAACATACTTCTTTCTATCACTTGGTGGGCTTCCAACTTATTTACTTTCAGTCAGTTCCACTGGCAATTAACAATTGATGTGGGTACCAGCAGCGTCATGGATGAGATATGAGACAAATTCACATGGACTACTGAGTCCTGTGGAGGAAAAGAAGTGGCACAGCTACTCCCTCAAGTGGGGAGTGCCTCAGAGTGGCCTGGCAACTCTCTCAAGGGGAGAGCATGCTGACCCTTGCCTAGACAGGCTTTTGTTGAGTTTATTTTGTGCAGGAGTTCAGGTACAACTTATTAATCATTGTCAGGCAGTAAACAGTAGATAGCATACAAAGAACTATTAGGGCTTCTTCTGAGTCAGGGTCTATTAGCTAAAAGGCTACAAAACTTTGGGAAACAAACTCATTTTCTGCTTGGGCCTTTATCATTTAACTAAGAGCATTCTTAGCAAAGCAGCCTTCACAGGATTTTACACATCCTTGCTCAGGCCTGATCACCAGGGAAGCCCACCCTTTTCAGCACAGGGCTGTACTGCCCTCTGTCATTGTTTCAAGCTTAAGTCAGGCACAGGAAGCAGATAGCCAAGGAATTTTTGGAGACTTCTGGTGGACTCAGGGGAGTCAGGCTTTGTCAAAGCCGAGGGGCGATGGTCCATCACCCCCTTTCTCCATAGCCCCCAGATCCTTCCCTGGGGCCTCCCCATGATCATGCCTGTCTTAGGTGGTTCCCCCCCTTGGGGAATCTTACCTGTCACTGGCTAACTGATCAAGCATTGGGGGCCAGTTATGAAAAAAGGAGCAGAAATGACACTTCTGCCAGGGAGATAAGCTTTGTCTCCTTAGCTGCTTATGGTCCAAAGGTCACTCACTCAGCCTTAGCTATGGGGGGTTTACAGCTCCTGAAATTAGGCAGGGCAATTCCCAACAAACAATAGCCAGTGTTGTCTAGATATAAATTTTAAACCTTAAGACTAACGTTATAAACACTGGCCTCTGTGCTTCTCCTGTTCTACCCTCTCAACAAATGATGGCTACCTGAAGCATACATAAAATAATAGATTTAGGTAAAAAAAATACTTTTATTCTTTTATTTGCTGCTGGACTGTCTCCCATTGTCTAGCAGATAATTCTTAATTAAACTAGCTTGAAAAAAATCTCGGGGCTACAGTCTTATTTCTCACTATGACTATTGATTCAGAGCATATCACTTTTCCTAGGTCTGTAAACCCTGCATTATTAGAGATGTTGTCAAGTTAGTTTGCAAGCTGCAGGCAAGTATGTCTCTCTTAGCTTAGCTATATATTTTTTTCACTATTCAATTCTAGCCCAAGTTTATCTTTTCCTTATAAGACTTTGCTGAAGGCAGCAAGAAACATTCAATACCTACATTCTGAATTTTTCTTACTATTTCCCCTGCCTGCTCTAGGTTTCTATGGTCGCTTTACTACCACATATTTGCCACAGAATAACAAGGATCATCAGTTTTTTCTAGTTTGTTTATCATTCACCATTTGGTCCCTTTCATTAAGTCACACGTTTAGTTCTGTTACTGGCATTATCAGGCTTCTAGGTACCAAATTCTAATTAGGCTTGTTGTGAGTGTCAGATATCCAAAATGACAGTGGCTTAAACAGGTTGGATTTTTTTTTTTTCTATTTCATGCATAAGTGAGGTCTTGGGATGGTCAGCAGCTTCACGAGTATCACATTCCTTGGCTTCATCTATCCTCAATATGCAGGTTCTATTTTGTGGTCCACAATGTTTGTGCCACTTTTTGCCAACATGTTTGCATCCTAGCCATCAGATATAAGAAAGAAAAAGAAAAGAGAAAAAAAAAAGGGCTCACCGATTCTCTTTAAAGGTATCTTCCCAAAGTTGTACCCACATTTCATCAGTAAGAAATTATTGACATTGACACTCTAAGCTACAAGAGAAATCTCGTTTTGTTTTGGGTGTCTATATGCCTAGCTAACATTTGGGGCTTCTGTTACTGAAGAAGAATTAAGATGTAGTTAATTGTATTCTCTGCCACACTCCGCCTTGATTTGTGGACATCAGCTAAGTCACAATAGGGGATTTGGTGAGTAGAACTAGACAGAGCTGCATTGTAATAGGTGATGCTGCATTTCTGAAATGGATCATTGAGGAGTGAATCTTGTTATTCAAATGTATCAAGATCTCATAATGATGAAACCAAAAAAAGAAATGGAGGAGGCATGGCTAGCATTTCCCGGTCTTTTATCACTGGCATTTTGGGTAGCTTAACTATTCTCTACATTGGCTATCTTATGGGTAAATAGGAACACAGAGGTGTTGGACTATGCTTGTCAGCTTCCCCAAATCTGAGTAGACTCAGAGAGGTTTTGCTTTCGCTGTCTACCTCATGAAAACCAGATAGTGTGCCTCCTAGTTTACAATGTTCTGCAAAACTGACGTACCAGAGTCAGCTTGATCTTTACCATGGCTAGCTGTCACACAAGCACAAACCTTTTGCTAGGGAAGACCAGATGTCAGGACAGTTCCTTAACATTAGCTCCAACTATGTAATGTTAGATATATTAAAACAAGCTGTTTTGCCTCTCTTAATGATGCAAAAAGCCTTGAATATTTTGGTTAAGTTCAGAACCATTTTTTGTATTTTGGACCCTGAACAAATTGGGGGTTTCACTGGCCTCTGTTTGCCAAAAGTGAGAGAAGGAGCTTAAGAGTCTTTACTCTGGCCCTTGGTCTTGAAGAAAAGCTTTGAGAAATGATTGGTGGTTTCCAAAGAAGTATTTTAAAGCTTTAGGATGAAGGCAGGAAGAAACATTCAATATAATAAATCAAATCTTATTATACAGCAAAGTGGTTATATATATATATTTTTCTATTCAGAGTTTTTATACTAATTTTTCGGCTAATTCATTGCATTCTTTACTTGGTGAGCAAGAACGCCTCAGTTCAGGGACATGGCTGCTTATCAGAACACTCATCTGCAGAAGGATACGTGCTCCGCTTGACTCTGTGCCTCTGCAGCCTGTGCTGCACACAGGCTCATCACACCCGGACTTCAAGCTAGAAATCCTCTCCGGATCTTTGATCTACTCAGGCATTTTGCACTATTTTAGCTAACGTCTCTTACTAGACCAAGAGAAAAGGCTCTAATGAATCTTCACATCTGCTTTCGACCTAAAAGGAACCGTGAGAAATTTTAGTCCAAAGATGAGGATCAACTGGTTTTTATATGGGAACAACTGGAAGAGCAGTAGCCCCACAGTCTGAGAACAGCACTGACTCCAGTGCTGCGGCCCATTTCTACACATTTCATTTTGGCTGCTTTCCTGTACTGAGACCCCCATCGGAGCAAATCGCCTACTGTCTTTAGATAGAGAAGTAAGCCTCATCTCAGATGCTGACGTGACCCTCCTTCCTTAAAGGTTTAATTCCAGTGTATAAAATCCTTGTATAGTATTTTTCCATTTATAAATGTGGCAAAATTAAAATAAGTGGCATTCCGCTCCAGTTAGGACATAGAAAGTTGTGACAGACAATCACGTCCATATTTAAACTGAAAAAAAAAAAAATCAGGCAAACTAAGAGAAGCAAAGTTTTAAAAAGGCAGAGAGCTGCTGAATGCAAAGAAGTCTAAAGGAGCTACATTCTAGAGAGGGGACAAAACCTAACAATATATATGAATACATAATAATGGTCATAATATGTAACTAAATTTTAAAAGTCACTCAAAGTGTTATTTTTTTCCAGCAAAAGTAAAACAATGGAAGAGAATTAAATTAACTTCTTAGTTATTTATAGTAAACTTAACTTTAGACTTTTGCTTGATCTGAGAGTATAATTTTTATTTTGGCTGTTAGCTATTCATGCAGATATTGCTGCCATTTTTTTCCAGCACCTGACGAAATTAGTAATATATAAAATACTTTTTGTTGAATTAAATATTAAGATGTAAACTGCTTTTATTTAATTCCTCAAGTCCAACTCACACACAAAAGCATGAAGAACAAAAATAAAACATACACCAGTTCGACCGCAGCCCACAGCCGTGTTCAGGTTGCCTCTCATAATGGGACTGAGACGGAGCAAGAGCAAGTCCTCGATTTGCAGGCTTTTAGAACCACAGTTTTATAGAACTGATTTAAGCATATGTTCTGAGTACTCTTCTTGGATTCAATTTTAATGCTTCTCATGTGATACCCCTAAAACTCAAAACCCAACAAAAGGGATTAAATACTAAGGAATAAAATGTTAGTAGGTGGGGATGAGCTTTGGAGGGCCATATCCATTGTAATATTAAGATTTTTTAAAACCCTTCCCAAGAAACAATGTTTTTCCTGTTGGATGCAGTAGTACCCCAGTGAGAATG